ATATAGAATAAAATTTATTTAATTTAAATCTGTTATTAAATACAGTAGCAGAATATATGTAAAAGTTAATAATCATATTTAAATATACATTCTATATAAATAACTATACTATAATATAACTACATGTAAGTTTAAATTTAAAATTTTATATTACATTTACATATTTATATTTCGCATTTATATATGACTTTTGTTATTATAATTGATATAACATAAGCATTATTAATTTTACTACTATTATCATATTAACTTTTTTTACTATTATTTCTCTTTCGTCAAAACAGGCGTTAAAAATCAATTTAATTACTTATTTAATAAATTTTGATATTATTTATATTAGCATTTCATATTCTATTTAGATTTATATATTAATATCATACATTCTGGAGTATTTTTATACTCCAGTATTAATTTATTTATTATAATTATATTATTAATTTTATTAATTAATAATTTATTATATTTAAAAAATTATTTATTATAAGGTTTTTGTTTTTATTTTAAGTTAATAAAAAAAAGGAAAATTTAAAATTAAAGTATAAAGTAAAAATAATTATATTAAATACAATAAAAACAATGACATACATAAATATAAAACATCAATATAGAAAATATAGATAAGATTAGATATAGATAAGATTAAACTAAATATTAAAAACTAGTATAATATATATAATGATTTCTATGGGCTATTAGGTCAACATTGTTTATATTAAAAACAAAAAACGAGTTCCTAAAGGTGGTCATAAGAAGTGGTTCAAATATTCGAGACTGATATTATTTTAAATTTGTTTATAACATAAGTACTGTAGACTCAATAGCTCATAGAAAATAATTATATATTATAATAATTTTAAATATTTAAGTTAAATTATGTTATATGTTTTTATTCTACATTTATATATGTTGAACCTTATTATATTCTATTTCATAATATCAACTTCATTTTTATGCTATTATATATTTTAATAAATAGTTAATTATAACATTTGTAATGAACACTTAATTAACTTTTACATTTATATTTTTATAAAGTATGCTCTTCACTTTTTTTAATTACTATTCAAATTTTGTAATAATTATTTTATTATTTTATTTAATTTTAAATTTTTTATCAATTATATGTTTGCTTTTATGTTTTTATGTTTGTGTGTTATTAAATAAAAGAACTCTCTTAGTTCGTTATTTAACAATTCACAAAAAGAAAAGGCTGCGGGTTGTAAGGGCCAAATAATTAATAAGTTCACAAAAAGTCTTAAAAAATAAACATAATATTACTATTATATTAATATATACTACATTATTCATAGTTCCTTTAATTATTGACCTTGATATATATATCCATATTACATATATATAGAGTGTTCGCAACTCTAATATTATCATTCATATCTATCATTTGTAAATAGTTAGATTGATTACATTATATTAAATAATATTTCTTTCTTAAAGTTGTAGCTTAATACAAAATCTTCGTAAAAAAATCTTATTTTGAAGCGACTAAGTCATCTTAGATGTTCATATTAAATGAGAACTTATATCGTTTATGAAATAAAGTGTATTGACAAAAGCAAAAGTTAAGGTAATAAAAAACATATTTATTATAAGTAACAAGGTCCACGCAGAACCCATATATCCTTTTTTAAATGACTTAGCAGATATCTTATCTGTTAACTTATAAAATGGAACAAAACTGTTACATAGCAAGATAACTTCGACCGGTAAAATGCCACAAAAAAAAGAAAAAATTCCCTCCTGAATTTAAAAAAAAATAGTGTCAATCTGCTCACAACTATATATATAAATTATTATTTTATAGGTACACATAGGTTTATGTGAAGTGCCACATCTAAAGACTAATAAGTAAGCGGGTATAATTGCTGCAAGAAATGATCAACTGAATTTCAGTTATGTTGGCATTTGACCCCTTTAGTCAAAAACTCAACTTGACAAGAGATTCCTCAATCAAAGGTTTTCCTTTCCAATAGAAGCAAAAAGTTTAGTAGTTTTAATCGATGCAAAAGTAATAGTTTATCTATCTAATCTTATCTCTGAAATTTGTTTTATGACTTAATATATTTTACTTCCAATGTCAGCTCGAATTGTACACTTGCTTTGGATCATAAGGTTTCGTAAACGGTATTAGTATCCTTACACATTGTCGAATCCAGTGACAAAGTACAGTTTGTCCAGTCTGTGATTGATGCAAGACTGATGATGGATGGCGGTAGTTACGCTCAATGAGAATATATAGTGAAGGATGCAACCTCATCAATGGTCTATGTGGCAACAAGTAGTGGTCTATGATGGTTACACCAAGGATTGTAGCGATCCTACTGTGTACGTCTATGTAAATGCTATTGTAGAGTTTTTGTGAACTTTAGAAGTTGAAGGTTGATTTATTACTTGCTGTTCATTTCCACCACCAAGATTATTGGAATATTTTGATAATATAAAATGCGTATAAATAATGTTAAAACAGCAGTTTAAATTCTTAAAATCTTCCCAATGGTTATTGGGACGATTATTGCTATGCGATCAATATCGGAGGAAGCAGAGGGTTTCACAAGCTTGTAAAATTATAAATATATAAGCAAAATTTGATCCATATTCCTAGCATCCATACACTATTGTTTACTGTGAGACGAGTAATTATGTATGAAAATAGACAAATAGTGCTTGTGTCCATTGTTTATAAAGTATCATTATTATTTCATTCCAAGTGGTATGAAGGTACCCATAGTTCTTAAATATTATTACCCATTGTATTGCATTGTAAATTTCGTACGGAATTATCATTTCATTATTATTTTGCAGTATTATTATTGTAATAGTTTTGCATTGTTTTTTTTATAATGAAATACATTAAGACTGAAAAGTTTTCGGAAATTCTCATTTAAAATTCGCGCGCTGTATATTTTTCGATATTTTAAGTTTATGTAGTTTGGCAGCACTGTCCTTAATTACTATGCCAAAAATGAGCTCGATCTGTCAGACAGTTCGTTTACGGCAGCTGTTGAAACCAGTTCACCTCAGTAGTGCGTTGCGAAATGTCTTCGACGGTCGTACGACCGTCCTGGAAGGCTTTGTACCACTCATAAACTTGAGTTTTCGATAAAACTGATTCCCCATAAGCCTTTTGTAGCATTCGCAACGATTCTGCACACGAAATTTCGTTCGAAACACAAAATTTGATGCAAACTCTTTGTTCAATATTTTTTTCCATTGTTTTTTTCGCAACGCCCTACTGAGGTGAACTGGTTTCAACAGCTGCCGTAAACGAACTGTCTGACAGATCGCGCTCATTTTTGGCATAGTAATTGTCCTTAAGTGCTGCCAAACTACATAAACTTAAAATATCGAAAAATATACAGCGCGCGAATTTTAAATGAGAATTTCCGAAAACTTTTCGGTCTTAATGTAAATATAACTTACATTATATAGTTTTATATACAGAGTTGTAATTAGTTGGATTTATTGTGAAAATATTAATAGACACTTATGTAAATGAATAATATTACGAATAATTGATTATTATTTATGAATATCACAACAATTAGTTAAAATACTAATCTATTGCAATTACTTTATAACCTATTTTCATAAGATAATAATATTTTTCATATTGCAACATTTTTATATATAATAAAAGCACACTTAAGCGGACATTTATAGTCACCGTCATTTATTTGTCCCATTGGAGTGTCTGTCCAAAAAAGATTCAGTTGTTACATCCTGGCTTCCGTTTAACAGGCCCATGTGTTTAATACAGGATTCCAATAAGTATTAAAATGTTTGATATAATGAAAAAAAAAATGCTTTAAAACTTGTCTCCCTAAAAGTGATATCCGTTTAATTGGAGCGTTCGTACAATAGAGACGCTTAATAGGGATTAAGTTGTGGGTAGAATTGTGGCCGCTCAATGGGGAATGTCTGTTCGATAGAAGTATACATTTAATAGGGATGTTCTATCAGTAGTAGAATTTGTTTAATAGAGACCTCCGATCAGAATGGGTGTCCATTTAATGGGAGTATCTGCTAGGTGAGTTTTTTTTTGTAACGTTTGTTTATTTATATAGATTTTATTTATGCTTATTATTTAAATTCTTGATTTATACTTATATTGAAACTCGAATTTTTTGAAATAAATCATAATCAATAAATAAATGAAAATATAAATATATATATAGTCGATTCCGGAGACGCTACAGCCACAAACTGTAAGTGAAAGAGATATACTCATAAAAATAAAAATTGGTGGATTCTGTTGGGTTACTAATCTAGCACATATTAGTGACAAGCAGATGTTTGGAAAACTCTTTATGATCGATTATATGGTAAGTGGCAGCGATGCAGACAATGTCTGCAGCAGAAAAATGACGTATATCAAGAAGCTTGCAAAGACTGCAAGTAGCACTCAAAATCTATTTATAGTCGATATCGATGAAAACATTTGTTTAATGAGGTTATGATCGGAGGCCGTCGTTGTAGTGCTGAAGATGATGATGTTTATATATGTGATTATTAAATGTGCATGCATTTGCTTTACACTTTATATATATATAGCTAATATAAAGTTAATATTCTATATGATAAAAACTTATGTTATTTCGATTTAATTTCGTTATATAAATTACATTTACATATATTCGATTGAAATTTCAAAAATTAAGTATTGTACACATATTAATTAATAATTTTTCAAAAAATTCCTTTTACTGTATATTCGATTTAATTGATTAGAAAGAACATTCTATAATTTTTACTAAATATTAAATACATCTGCTACTGTATTCAATAAACAATTGGTCTCGTCTTGCTTTAAATTAATTTATTTGATTGTTGCAACTATATAATATTAAATGTTTATAGTAATAAATTTTAGAGTATATCGTATATGTTTTTCTATTTAGTATTCAATTTTTTTAGTTCTTAATTGCTAATATTATTTTAAATTTTACTTCGTAACTATTTATCGTTAATTAAATGTTAATTTTGCTAAAACCTGTTTTATTCCTTTCATTTAATTAAATAAATTTATATTAATTATTGTTAAAGTAACGCCTTCCTTTAAGTAATTCCAACGTAGCTTTAGATCTTTAACCGCTATACGCGAGTAGGTGTACCGAAAATGGGAGTATTATTGCGTCTTGTGGTTAATGGAGATACATTGTTGTTACTGCTGCGTCGAGCCGGCAACTGTTGACAATCGGAATATGATCGATCTAAATATATAAACCAAATGTTGAAATAATTTTTTTAAACAAAATTTAAAAATTATAATATATTTATATTTAACAAATAGAACTTGCTTTCTTTGCTTATATAATTGATGCAGTTGGTATGTGCTTCATGCTTCAACTGAGTGCGGCAAAATAAGTTAGTTTATTTAAATATTTTTTTTTTGTGATGAATTTTTTGAGTTAGACGTGCGGTGACATGCAGTTATAAAAATATATGAAAACAAAAAAAAAATAAATAAATAAATAAATTGAGATTATTTTATATTAGTAAAATAATGGGCTTGTTTTTAATTTTATTTAATTCAAAAATATTTGTCTAAAAATATTTAGATGCGTCTGTTATACCAATCTTATATAATATATATCTTTCCTATGACTAAACATATTGTGTATTTATTTATTTCATTTTAATAATGTTTTTGTTGACCCCACTTGAATCTATATAATAACTTTGAAGGAAAAGAAATTTCAAGTAAAAAATAATAATAATAATAATACAATAATAATAATATAATAATAATATTATAATAATAATATAATAATAATATTATAATCATAATAAAATAAATTTATAACAATAATATAATAATAATATATAATTATAATATAATATAATAATAATATTAATATATAAGAAAAAATAATATAAAAAAATAATAATAAATAAAAAAAATAATATATAATTAAGTAAAATATACAGATATATAAAAAATATTTCCATATTTTTGTAATTCTGTGCAAGCTATAATTATAATTAACAAAATAGTGAGAACGTCTATATGTCCAACGTTTTTAGACAAAAGGATTTTAATGTATTCATGGACAACTTGTATATAGACGTCATGTACAATAAATGTCTACATTATTAAAAAAATTTATCATTATTTTTACTTATAAAGTATATTAAGGAACATAATTAAATAATTTTTATATATATTGTTTATTGTTTATATATATTTTTATATATTCAAAATGATAGATTTTAGTGTCGATTTAATTAATTTATTTATTTTATATTACTTATTATTATTAACCCATTTGGTTTCATTAACACTCAACCCCAGATACGATAGATTATCACTTATTTAAAAATGAAAAAAAATTGATTTTTAACGTCAGTTATAACTGTTGTATAATTAAGTAGTATAATTACAACTCTGTAATTATTAGTTGTAATACATATTATATATTGAATAAATAGAGAACCAGTCGAAGTCAGGCTATCATAAGTAAAAGACATATCGTTTTACTTATATATATAAATATATTACTCAGTTGGTTGTATATAATATAACAATAACGAAAGTAACTATTTACTTAACAGAAGCTATAGTTTTTAATAAAGAGGCGAACAGTAGTAATATAAGAGTTTACGAACAGTAGTAAGTTGGAACAACAACATTTATTTATTTGTTATTAATTGAATTCTTGGCTGACCAAACAGCTGTTTCGAGTACTGCCAAATACACACCATCAGTAGTATTTTTGGAATTATTCGAAAATAATTTTTTCAGACAACAAGTTCAAAGCATGAACTTGTATTATTATCTATTATCTATTTTTATCATTATTATCTATATTATACATACATATAATATAAAACGTTTAAATATGAATAAGAATGTCATATATGTATAATTTACAAAAACAGTATTGATTTAAGACACCAGAATTATTAAGGATTTCCCACATCTGCAATGTTGTAACAAACAAAATGATTGTGTGTACGTGATCTCCACAAGAGATCAAGCACCTCCATTTGAGAGTGTGCTTCCATTGGTGGATTTCGAACGTGATGTTACAGTATAATATGTCTATTTCGTGAAAGTTTTGAGTGGAGTTCTTCTTTCGCCGTGGTTAGTTTTCGATTCGATAAAATCATGATTACCAACTAATAATGGTTAAGGTTAAGAGAAATAAGCAATTTTAAAATTATTTTGAAAAATATTTAATTTAGATATGTTCGACTATTTTCAAAATATCGACAATAAAATCTTTTAAGAAATTTATTACAAAAATATATAAATATAATTTAAACCATAAATAATAAATGACTTCTAATATAATAAATACATTGACATTAACATTTCGATAACATAATAGTCTTACGATTTTTACTACTCGTATATCTATAAATCTTATTACATTATTATAATAACAGAGAATATTTCAAAAAAGTAATATAGATATATTTAGTTTATAAAAATTATAAGTATATATATATATACAAAGATATTTTATAGATCAAAAAATCAAAACATCACTATTAGTATAACATTATCTCTCAGTCATTACCTCTAAATTTCATGCCTTGGGATTCATTAATAATAGCTGCCAGCGCAGGATGTTGGTAGCGTTCACGAAAAATAGCCGAACCATTTATTGGAGCATTGCCGTTAAGATTTGGGCTATTATTATTACCATTGCCATTATGTATATGAACCTGAGCATGATTTGGTTGCATTTTGATTGGTGTATGTTGTGGTGTTAAAGCGGGAGACTGACTGCCATTCTTAAAATAACGATTTTGGTTCGGATCATATAATTCGTTTTGGTTGATACGATTTGAAGATTTTATAGAAGCAAAACGATCCTCTTCATTACGTATCTTGAGTATGCGCTCTTGTACGCTGTAACGTGAGCTATGCAATGCATTTACGTGATTCAAATTGGTAACGTGGTTCAATTGCTTAGTACGAAAACTGCCGCCTGGCGAATTTAACAAAGTACCACGTGATGAGCTAACTGTAGTCTCACTAGAATCGCGGGGCGAAGCATGATTCAACTCTCGATAGCTGGACGGGCGATGTGTAGATGGAGGTGTATCAAGTCCGCTGTCATGTGCCGAATAGTCCAAATCGGCTTGATGACTATGGTTAGCATTGTTGATACCATTTCCATTAGTAGATGTTGATAGCATTGGTTGCACTACAGTAAAAAACATATATATTTTTAATAGCTTGTACTTATTGTTGTAACACCGGTTAAATAATATAGCAAAAGAACAACAAAAAAAATATTTTAATACTCACCAGAGTGACGCATGTCAGTAGGTGCTCTGGGTTTCCGATACAACCAGTCACGATCCAGTTCATTTCCATTTTCGGTATTGTTGTTGCGAGAAATTCGTGGACGTCTTAACAGTACTTCCCCATCTTCAGCTTCCTCATCAACAACATGATTGGAACCGAAACTGCTGTTAATAAATATGCGTCGTGGTGAACCATATAAGCCGGTGCAATTGGAGAAAGAACTGTTCTGTGATGAGTAACCATTAGAATAGCGACTTAAATTTGCGTTATTTGCTGAAGAGTAGGGTATTTTCTGTGGTGTTGAATGATTTGTGGACATGCCACTTATATGATTCTGATTCTCGTTATTTAAAGCACTTAAATCTGGCACTGAATCAGAGAACAGAAATGGATTATTGCCAGCGAAACCGCTTACACTGCCAGTGCCTAGCTTTAATCGACCTGCGCCACTACCACTCGTCATTAACCAATCATCAAAAGCACTCGAATATGTCCCGCCCAGGCCGAAGTGATGATTTTGCAATGAAGCATGTGAAACTGGCGCGGCCAATGAAGCACGAGAACGAGGCCCTTGTGCAATTTTTAAGGCACGTCGACGCTCTTTAGAAGTTAAAGTACATTCCTGCATAAAAAATAAGTTTAGAGTATTTAAAACAGAATTAAAATTATAACTTAAAAAATAAAAAACATACTATATTAAATATTGTAACCGGTGAATTATTTAAGTATCTGATTTTTTTTTAATGGGCTAAAATTTAAACAATAACAGCATTATTGTATTATCGTTATTGTTATCATTATTTATTTAACAATATCGTAAGTATATAGAATATTCTTTTCAAGCTTTCCTGATCAAAATCATTTTTCTCACCTCTAAAAGTTCATACCAGTCTTCGAGGCCATCGTCGCAACGTAATAAAACTCTTCCTTCACGGCCTAATAACAAGCCAATGGCGCTATAGGAACGGCGATTTAGCCACTCCACCTTTTCAACGTCAACCAATTTAACCTGAAATGAAAAAAAAGCAAACAATATAGGTAAAGTTTTTTGATTGATGCTATTTTTATTAAATATACAAATATAATACTAATGTAATGCCATACATGGGCGTTAACAACCAGCCACTTAATTGAAGTGATCATACAAGCTAAAGTAGTGGTGCGAAAGTAACTAGAATCTCAGAGGTTCATGGAAACAGATACTTCAGTACATATTTCGAGAAATAATGTTTAAGATATACAATTTCAATCAGTGGAGAAAGAAATTAAGGTAATATTACTCTTTTCCTCTAACAACTTTAAAGAAAAACAATCGACGGCTCACGGTACAGACTGAGTCTAGTATAAAAATCAGACTCCAATAGCGAGACATACTGGAGTACTGTGGGGGCCTTATGCTTCACGAGAAATAATAATAAAGACGGCGAAGAAGATTATGTTTTAATAGGAACAGTTAAAAAATATATATTGTATTGGATTCCGCTATAGTAAGTTATGGTAATTTGTAAGGAAATCACGTCCCAGAAGTTTTTATAGTCAATAATTTTGTTGACATTTTTTTATTAGATGTTTATAAGTTAAATTAGTTAAATTAATTTAATTTTATCATTAAAATGTTAAAGTGATTTTAATTCGTTCCATAGATGATTAACACAGAATTTAATTTAATATTATTTTTTTATGAACTTAACTAATCTTCTTTAAACAATAAAAATACATAAATTACTGTGTGCCACTAAAAAAAAAATAAAATTTCTTTGAGATGGAAAGTTTTAGTACAAACGTAGGTGATTAGTCATACCCAGGAAATTTTTGCGGTTTAAAAAAAAATTCAAAAATATTATTTCTTATGTAAAATTTTTGATAAACGCATGTTGTAGTTCTCTTTAATCTTAAAGTATTCTTATTGGAACAGCAGTTCTTTAAATGCAAGTGTGTATTATAGATCTTAAGTGTATGCACTACATTATATATTTAAAGTATATTAGTTAGGGGTAAGACTATGTCACTTATATATTTATATATAACATTATTAATAGAGCAACTATTAACATAATGTTTGACAGCGACGTATACTTACTGATTTTAAATTCTGTTTAAACTCATTCAGAAATATTGGACAATTGGCTATCGCTGTTTAATGAATCGTGACAAGACAGTGGCTAACAGACGCAATAAAAGGGCCGAATGTATCGTCATACGAATATCTCCATTTTATACTTCGCGAATTTCTGAAAAAACTCAGATACTGCAAGAAATCTTATTTTAAAAGCTACTGGATAAACTTTAAAGGCCAAATATAGGCTGAGACATTAACTAATCCGTCAAAGGGAGTGTCTGTAAATAGATTTTGGAACGTCTGACCAAATTCTCTGTAAATTAATTAAATTTTTTTTTTTTTTTTTATTTAATTTAAATTCAATAAGTATTCTGTCACATAGTACGGTGACATTTTACAATTTTTTAATAAATACTATTTGAGACTTGATCATTTACAATTAAAGTAGTTCTCTCTGTAGAGAGCTACTCTTTTCTTTTTAATTTAAGATTTCTTTATAATAAAATTTGATTTTTATAATAAAATTTGAAGCGGCGTTTTCCTTTTCAGTCTCGTAAATATATTTAAGGGGGACATCAAATTCGAAGCTAGGATGTTGGGATGAATTTGTATTCGTTCATGGTATTTTCTAGCTACCTTTTTTACTTCATCTCTTACCGGGATTATCCCAAGGTCCCGATGGATTTGAATGTTAGTTACATACCATGGGGCATTTACTATTTCCCGTAAAGTTTTAGATTGAAATCTTTGAAGAATTTCTATGTTGGATGTTGAGGCTGTTCCCCATAATTGAATGCCATAGGTCCATACTGGTTTTAGCACACTTTTATATAAAATAAGTTTATTCTTTAGGGATACTGAAGATTTTTTATTTAGTAGCCAAAACATTTTTCTGTATTGAATCCCAAGGGATTTCCTTTTGTTAAAAATATGCGTTTTCCATGTCAGACGTCTATCTAAGTGCATGCCCAAGTATTTAGCGCTATTTGATTGCGGAATTATTATATTATTAAGTTTAATTTCCGGGCAGGTGTCTTTTCTCATTGTGAATGTAACATGAGTAGATTTTGTTTCATTTGCTTTCATGCGCCAATACTGCAACCATTTTGATATACGATCAAGACCAGCTTGTAGTTTGAATGAGGCTACAGAGGGATCGTTTGCACTCGCCAGGATAGGTGTATCATCTGCAAATGTGCCGGTTACAATTCCTACCGTCTTCGGTAAATCGTATGTGAAAAGCAGATAAAGGGTTGGACCGAGTACACTGCCTTGTGGTACTCCAGCTCTAATATCATGTAGAGAAGACATTTCATTTTCATTGTTGACATAAAAGAGTCTTTTCAATAGATACGATTTTATGAACGTATAATAGTTAAGTGGCAGAAGCTTTTTACATTTGTAAAGAAGTCCTTGATGCCATACTCGATCAAACGCTTGAGATATGTCCAAAAACGCTGCTGAGCAGTATTCTTTTCGCTCGAAAGTGGTCTGTATTTTTTCAACAATTCTATGAATTTCCTCAATGGTTGAGTGTTTTCTTCTGAATCCAAACTGGTGGTTCGGAATTATTCGTTTCGACTCAATTACCGGCATAAGACGTTTTAAAAATAATATCTCAAGAACTTTTGAAAGAATGGGAAGGAGACTTACTGGACGATAGGATTTTACATCTTCAGCTGGTTTCCCTGGTTTTAGTATCATCTTTATTTCGGCAACTTTCCATTGATCAGGGATGAAACTTTTTAACAAGGATGCATTGAAAAGATGAGTAATAAATATTAAAGCAACTTCTGGAAGTTTTTTAAGAATTTCAGCAGTTATGAGGTCATAACCAGGTGCCTTTTGATTTTTAAGAGATTTAATAGTATAAATTATTTCTCGTTTTTTAAATTTCCTAATTGGTAACTCCATTTGGTGAGTTTCTTCTAAAAATTTGGAAACATTGACATCTATTTCTGAATCGCCAGTCATATCATGTGGAATAAAAACGTTTTTTAGATGGCTTGCGAAAAGTTGAGCTTTTTCAGACGGTTTTTTCGCCCAAGTATTATCTGTATTTTTAAGTGGGGGTCGATAATCTATTGTATTATTTACTTTTTTATTTGCTTTCCATAGAGAATAGTGAGATAAGTGAGACGTGTCGAGGCTATGTAAGAACTTCTGCGTATTTTGTTCCGTCTGTCGTTTCAGCAGAGTCTTTAGATCTTTAATAATTATGTTAAGTTTCCTCTTGTCTTCAGGAAATCTGGTACGATGCCATATTTTTCTAGCATTTCGTTTATCCTTTAGTTTTTTTGTGATCTCCCCAGTATA